GGGGGGAGGAGCAGGGGAGGGGGAGGAGCGGAGGAGTGCGCAGGAGCGGCGGAGGGGGGAGGAGCAGTGGAGGGGGTAGGAGTGGGGTTGGGGGAGGACTGGCGGAGGGGGAGGAGCAGCGGAGGGGGCAGGTCGTCCGTGGTCCATTGGTCGGACATCGCCGGCCTCCAGTGCCCGACGGGCCCCCAACGACCTTCCACTGTTACCGTTGGCATGGAAATGCGTGGGGGTGGTTCTTCAGCTGCAAGGCGCTTCACGAAGCAGGGTTTTCCATGCGCGCGTCGCCGGCTTTGGTGTCCAACGGTCGATTTTTATTTTTTTTCTACAAGCGATGTTGAAGCACTGTCGGTCGATTGCAGTCATCTGCCTAGCGTGTTTTGTCGGCTATTGCAAGCTTTGTTTGCTACACGCCTCGCATTCTGCGATTCATGGCAAACGTGCGGTTCCCGCCCTGCTGCTAGCCATTTTACTCCTGCTCCTTGTCGTGTTGTTCCACATGTGCATCATTGTGCGGGGTCCTGGCAGCAGACAGAAACGACGAACAGTGAGGAAGACGACAATCGACAGGCGGGAAACCTCCAGCAGACAGCCGACGCGCCATTGACTACACTCCGCAGCTTCTCCTTGTAGTAGCCCTCCGCAGCGTCGTCAACCTGTCGGAGATCCTCCCATGTCCCTCCCGTCCTTCTCCTCATCCACCATCTCGGCGTCGCCCACGGGATCAAACCTGATGCCATGGCACAACAGAATTGCACAATGGATTCCGATAACGACACACATTGTCAATCAGTTGCATCCATCACTTGTTGCATCAGCTGCCTCTGCATGCGAACGAACAATCTCATCCTCAGGCGAGTTGTCGTTCTCTCAATGTGATAACGCATGGCGACGACTGACATAGCTGCGACCAACGTGTTTCTCTCCAATGTCATTAATGCCACCACCCAGGAGCTCTCGTTCCATCGTCAGGACTTGCAATGCGCAAGCACCCACCACTCGTTCGCCCGCCGGTGCCCTCGTTGCACCTTCTGCATGTCGATGGGGACCTCGCTCACACTCTTCACGTTTCACGGAAGTGATACGTTCGCGCTAAGCTGTGACGGCCCGAAGAGCATGCGAAAAACGAAGGCGATGTCGCAGTAGAGAACCGTTACGCATACAGGCTACATTGCCCAACATTCCAATGCCCTCCTTTTAAGCCATGGCCACCATCACTCCTCCGCACAGACATTTCGCCCCAGTCTCCGGTCCAGCCGCGAGGACGCCTCACGCATGGATGTGTCACAACGGAGGGTTCAAAATTTGAGATTGGAACGGGGATGTTGACGCCCTTTTTTTTCGTCAGTCTGGTAGGCCTCCCCGCCGCCGCTGCTGGACCACGCGCGAGGACGCACGGACATCCAAGCACGATGACGGACATCCACCCCCGCAGCCGCGTGTATGCGTATGAAATTGGCCGCTGGAGACCTCCAAGGGTTTTCCTTGGGACCGATTGAATTAGGACGCGGTGTAACGAGGACGCCGAAAACCAGAAAATTTTCCAAGGACTTCATCCTAATTCCTGAGGATTTTCCAAGGAGGGTCTAACGAGGCCCTGAGTATGTGAACCCTTGAGTAGACACATGGTTCATAGAGTGAGTCTGTGAACCTTTGAAGTTTGAACACACTTCAGTGCATGCATGTGTTTCATAGCTTCACAACTGGTCACACAAACAATTGACCTGGTTAGTGGGCACATGGTTCATTGAGTGAGTCTGTGAACCCTTGAGTGGAAACATGGTTTATCTGTGGTTAAAAAAAGAGATATGCTCCTTGGTGGGACTTGTCCATATCTACCCAGTATGAGTATGCTACTATGCTATGAATTGCACGTATAGCTAGGCTACCAGAGTGGCCAGGGTCCACTTGCCCGGCCGGACCAAAAAGAAATAAAAAAATAAAAAAAAATAAAAATTAGTTTTCAATTTAAATTTTTATTTTAAATTTGGTAACGAATTTCGATGTGACCCTGAGGCAAAAGTTGTTCAGTTTATTTTTCTGCATAACATAGTTTTTTTTCGGATTTTGTGGATTTTTTTATTATTATTTTTTTTGGCTGGGACCTTCCCTAGTCCTTGCACGGCCGGGCCACCCAGGAAAATAGGGTGACCCAGGCGGCCCGGCTGGTAGCCTAGACGTATAGTGACCTATCGAATCAGAGGTAATGTGAACTACTTGCCGAGGGAAAAGGAACCCGACTGACGCAACCTGGAGCCATGACATTATGGTCAACGTTCAAAGAAACAAAAAAGCAATTAGAAGATAATAATAATTCAAATAATACAAGAAACAAACACTACGTGCTGCCTGTTTGCATTATCCTGAAAACTCGACAAAGATTGATGCCACAATCTCTCCTATTAAAAACAATTAACACACACACACACAACCTCGGCTATCACTCACACACACACACACACACACACACACACACA